AATTTAACTTTATATCCATTCAGACATAGTGATACAACCGAAATCGTAGAAGAGAATTCGATAGAACAAAAAAGTAAGACATACTATAAATGTGACACAAATGTCTTAACCGAGATGATGGCGATGATGACTGAGCTGATTCAAGAATCCATATCGCAGGCTTTTGAAAGTAATACGATCGTTGTGGAAAAGTACTTGAAGATATTTCAAGATCTGCGTTCACCTTTGTTTAAGGGAACTGTTGACCCTATTAAAATGAAGATCTGACTAATGAGGATAGAGAAGATACTAGATAACATGACTTGTCTCGATGAACAAAGAATACTATTAGCTAATTTTGTGCTGGATGGAGAAGCCGAAAGGTGATGGCGTGGGCAGTGCCGGGACAAGCTAGTGGACATACCCAATAGATAGTTGGGAGGAATTTATGGAGTTATTCAAATAATTATTTGTACCCCTATCCACTCGAAGATACATATAGGATATGTTCATCAAGTTGAAAAAAAGAGAGAAGAAAGTCATGCAGTACAAAGTATAATTCACTTCACAGCTGAGGTATATGCCATAGTTGATTGCTAATGTAGAAAAAATAGTAATAGATTTCTTTCGTGATTAAAGAATTCAGTCAGACAACCGTTGGTGCCTTTGAGGATCGACAAATACTTAGTATTCGTGGAACATGCTAAAAGAGTGGAGATTGATTATCAGCTTACTCAGAAGCGTAAGGAGATGCACATGCAGAAGAGTGTTGATAAAGATTTGGATCAATCAGAGGTATCCCATGGGAAGAAGTCCAATAACAATTTAGGTGGTGTTAGCAGAGATACAACTCAGGGTACTGTAGTCACTTGTGCCAAATACGGAAGACTATATAAAGGTGAATGCTTGATGTGCTCTAACATTTGCTATTGGTGTCGTTAGCCTGGTTATATACCGAGATATTGTCCATCTCTTGGCCAGAAGAGTGTTGAATATCAGAAATCAGTGGAGCTACTTTACAGAAGACTGCAAGTGGACAAAAAAAGATAGAGTCATAGTTTTTGCTCCTAACCAAGGTCAATCAAAACAGCTTGTTCGATCTCGAGTATATTCCCTTACTCATAGTGTATTTGAAATACTTACTGCTCTTGATGGTGATGAGGACTGATGAGTTTGGCGATTTCATATATAGCAGTATTTTACTAGCATACTTTCTTGTTTTAGTATTGTTATCCGAAGTATTATTGGGTTGCCTTGTATCAAGTCTTTATCTTTATATTGATTACTTTTTATCTTATTCAATGACCAGTAGTTTTCATCAAGAAGTTTATGGATAACTAGTGTTTACCTGCTTAATTTGAAATGACTTGAGGTTTGTTTATAAATTTTGAGGACAAGATTTTTATAAGTGAGGAAGATTGTAACGTTCTGTTTCAGTTATTCTGTGGGAGGGTAAACAAAGAATTGAAGAAAATGAGGCGAGGAATCGGGCAGCCGAACAGAGGAGAGAGGAAGCAAGGGTATCAGAAGTCAAACAGGTGAGTTTGCCTTATAAATTTTCGTATGAGGAGACAGGGACTTATCTGAGAGTCGAACGACATTGTCGAAAGAAGGGGAGGGCTCTCAAGTTCGTGCTAGTTTCGGTGGCTGTGGTGAGTGCAATTAGGGCAAAGAGCGTAACAGCTGTCGGCGTCGGTTTTGAGCCCCGATTAAGGAAATCAAAGAGGAAGCTGTTGCTGCATCTGTAGTGAAGCAAGTGCGCTATCGAGAAAGCGAGGAAGTTCTTGCGGGAGGGAGCCGGAACTAGCTTTAAAGCGATGTGGTTCTCGCGAAAGGGAAGAAAACGAAGTCTTCGCGCGGTGTAGGACTCGACTGAGGTAATGCTTATTAAATTGATTATATTCTTAAAACTTAATCATAAAACAAATATATATATATATATATATATATTGAATAAAAAACAACTGGATTAAATAATGCTTTAATACTTAAATAATGAAACACTTTCTCTTTATTAAAATAAAAAATAAATTAAATTTTATACCATGCTAGGCTTTCAATTTTAGAAGAGTCAATGCCAAGGATAATTAATTGATATTGAGGTGACTACTCATGTTCTTATATTATGATAATATTTTACTTGTTTTAGACCAAATATATTTGTAAGTATTATCATTAGTTATGTTGAAATTATCACAAATTTATGATTTTGAATTTTAATGAATTTTTATTCATATTGTCGGAATGATATGTGTGCACATCATTATTTAAATTATTATAAATATTGAATGATTTATAAGTATATGAATTGCTATGCAAATGAAAATGAAATATTTATTATTAGAAAATAATATTTTTATTGTATATTTGAGTATGCATGATTCATTATGATGGAGTTACTCATTTATGGTAGAGCGGAACACTAAGATACCCGTGCATGTAACTTAAAAAGATATGGATATTGAAAAACCTTAAGTGGTATACTTTTTAAAGGGTATTTCTGTGACAGTTGTACATGTATAGAATAATTTTGATATGTTATTGATATAGTAAGATTTATTGAATAACATCTCAAATGTTAATTTTGATTTATTAAATGTTTAACTAGCATGCATATTTTTTTTTTTTTTTGTGCTACTGTAGTTTAGAAGTATGAGTATTCACTTGCTTGTTTAGCTCATTTTTATTTTAAACAAACTTTTCAGGTTATTATGTGATTAAAATATGAACAACAGAAGAAATAATATTTATAGAAGATGCAGATAACTTGTAATGAGATAAACTTAAACATTCTGCTTTATTTTAATTTGATTAGTGATTCTTTCATTTGTTAAAGTATAAATGAATATAGAAAACTTAGTTCCAACCGTCCAATTGTCTGTATTCGTCTTGGTTAATTCTAAGTCCCGGGTTGGGTCTGACATTGGGGACTAAATTGACAATTTTATAAAATTTGGGATTAAAATAACTAGTTGGGGAATCATTTAGGCACCTTTCTCATTCATTATATTTTAATAAGGGGATTATCTGTGCATTTCAAGCTTCAATTAATAACGAAATAATGTTTGATGAACTTATGCTTCATCAACTAGATGTTCTATAATTGTTATTTTAAGTGAGAAAAAGTGCAAGTTGGCCCATAGTCAAGTGACTCAATTCTGCTTTATCTTAAAGTTTTAAAATATAGTTTTACATGTAGCACAGAAGAATATTTATGATCTAAATTATCCATTTTGATGATTTACATTATAAACATTTTTATATTAATGATTATGATGGATTTATTGGATGGTTATGAAGTGAAATGTATGTTTTGTGATGATCTAGGCTGACTAATTTTCTATCCATTTGATCATGTTTAGTAAAAGTCTGGTTGGGTTAATGGAAAATTTTTGACCGGATTACCTATTTTTCATACGTCTCATGCTTAATTGAGAGGAATCAAAATGGGGCGTGATAGTTTTCTTATCTCAAAAGAAGTTGTGTTCAATCTTCTTGAGAAATTTTCAAGGACACCCCTCTTTATAAGAGGTTGGTTGGTAAGTTGATCAATCTTATAGTCACCAAACTAGATATCTTTTTTGTTGCAGGGTTTTGAACCAATGCATACATACTCACAAACATAAAAATTGGGAAGCTATTATGCGCATCCATAGGTATATAAACAAGCCAACAAGGAAAAAGACTTGTATACACTAAGAATGAAAATTTTATCATGAACCTCTTTTTTCATGCTGTTGACTATATTAGATTAATTGGTTTTAGAGAATTTACATATGGGTAATGCATATTTGTAGATAACTTGGTCATATGGAATAGTTAAAAGCAAAGAATGGGTAGCTAGATCAAGCATTGAGGTAGAGTACAAAGTCATGGCTGATTTTACACGTGAAATGATGTGTGTTAAAATCTTCTTGGGAGAATTTGATTTTTCTATTAGAAAACCTATTATCATAAATATTAATGATTATGCTGCCATTTACATTGCCAATAATCTTGTATCCTTTTCAAGAAAGAACAAAACATATTGAGGTTGAATGTCACTTTATACGGGATGCTGTGCAATTAAAGAAGATTGTTACTTCTCATTTTTCTTGCTAAAAAATGTTGGCAAATGTGTTTGCCAAGGCTTTGGGTTAACTTTATTTTTCCACGTTTAGTAACAATCTATAGCTAATTTATAACTGTGCTTTAGTTTGAGGGTGAGTAATAGGATATAAATTGCAAATTGAGGATTTTCTGGCAACTCATGTAATAAAACAGAGAGAAATACATATTAGAATAGGGGAGAAGGAAAGTTAGAGAAAAGGAAGCTTCTAATATATATATTTTTTTCCCCCTAAAATTAATACTGCAGCATAGCAGCACATACAAAGCTCCTTATAATTGCTAAAGTAAATCTTTTCTCCATATTTTGCTGAGTACATCACACTTAACAACCTAAAAACAGCCCACCCAATCAAAATAGGACACTTATTTCCATGTTAATTAACTGTAAGAATTAAACATGCTTTCATTTGTTCACCCAACTGAACACCCCTCTTTTACATTGCTTCCTCACTGTACCCCTTCAATAAACGGTTCGTGCTTTTGCACGGATCATGGTTGAATGCTCCCCACCTTTCCCCTTGGAACAGTGAATTTGTTCTTAATGTTGACATTAGAGTAGTTGTCGTCCAATTACTTGCGTTGATCCTTGTTTCTTTCTTAGTGTTACAGTTACGGTGTGCCAATTTTTTATAGTTGGCATGAGTAGATGACATTAGAGTTTTTCTATTAAGATGACTATACCATTTGTCAGATGGTAATGAGTTAAATGTAGCTGCCAATTTTCATGATGTAGATTTTGCATGTATACACGAAATGCGATAATTATACATTACATTCTTAAACAGTAAAAGGTTCATATTATCTTTTCGTTATTTTACAAATATTTGATTTGATAATTTCACTTCTTAAGCTGCATTATTTGAAATCCGACTCTGTTTATCGCCTGAGGTTTTTTCTTTTCAAACTTTCAGTCTTATTTCTCGAGCTAGGAAGACTGTTCTTGGCTCAGCCGATGATATCGGATGGCTTCAGTGTGCTCCTGGCATGCCTCCTGTAGAAGATGGAACTGATCGATTCAAGGAGTTGCTTGAAAATATCAGGTTAATTCATATTCTACATGAATTATACCTTCATAGGAAAGAAAAAATATATTATTTGTTTTTCATTTTTTTTAGTTGGAGCAGCTTATAAGTTGCAATACTCTTCATAATATTCATCTTGTTATCTTATCGCAGAAACGATGAACATAAATTGCCAGATTCTTTGGTTTATTTGTTAGTTCCAGGTAGAAAACATTCCACTCGAAACTTTTCACAACAGAATTTGATAAATTTTTCTGGCAATTCATTGGTGCTTTCTTTTGCAGGTCTGTTTAGTAATCATGGTCCCCTGTATTTTGTTAATACAAAAACATGCTTTTCAAAGATGGGACTTACTTGCCATATTGCTAAAATTCACAGCGAGGTATCATGTGGATAACTATTGTTTCCCTGTATTTCTCTGTTCTTATTTTTGCTGGTACTGCAACATTAAATTTTTAGGCTTCAATTGATAAAAATGCCAGAGAGATCAAGGAATATATTGAAGAAATATATTGGGGGTCGAAGAAACGTGTAATGCTTCTTGGACATAGCAAAGGTGGGGTCGATTCTGCAGCTGCATTATCTTTGTACTGGCCGGATCTGAAAGATAAGGTCGCTGGTTTAGCCTTGGCTCAGAGTCCCTATGGAGGTAGCCCAATTGCTTCAGATATTTTGAGGGAAGGCCAACTAGGAGATTATGTGCAATTGAGAAAAATCATGCAAGTTTTGATTTGCAAAGTCCTCAAGGTACTCTTGTTTTGTGTTCGCAAATATTGCAGTTTTAGTGTGAAGTGGGCGATAAGCAATCTCTTAATTAATGTTTATATATGTATGTATGTATATATGTCCGAATGTACACACACACACACATATATATGCAGTCATGAACTACTCTTTAAATGAAACAGCTGCAATTTTGGAACAAAATAAGTCCAGGCTTTGTGAGGTACTTAATGAAAAAGATAAAGCAAAAATAATTGTGTTCACTATTTTTAAGATTAGTTCGATACAAGAATTGATTGATTAGTCATATATTACACTCAATTTAATGCAAATCCAATGGGTAGATTTGGGTTGAGTAAATTGCCAAATAACCCCCTAACTATTTAATGTAGTTGTTCTAATCCCAAAGAATATAAAAGTGTCAAATTAGTCCCAAATTTTATAAATTGGGGCTGAAGCAGTTTTTCATGAGATTATTTCTGTCCATATTAAAAGAATCTAGGGATTAAACTGACACTTGTATAAACTTTGGGGCTAAAATGATTCGGTGCCAAAAAACCAGGGGACTATTTTTAGATTTTTCTCAACTTGGATTAGGTTATGTTGACCTGAAGAGTTTGCATGTTTTCATTTATATTTTTGGCTCTCCGCTGAACTTCTTGTTAAGAACTTATTCTTTGTAAGTTAGTCGTTACACATGACTAAAGTTCTTGCACAGATCCATTTCATCCATTCATAAATTTTTCCTTGTTTTTACCTTTTCTTCTTGCAATCTACAAATTCTAGTTCATGTCATATTCATTTTCCGCTATTCATGTTTTGATCTCTCTCCTGCGTAATTTTTTAAATTCTCTTACCTTTGCACATATACCGCCTGAATCTTCTATTCCTTCAAATTTTATCACGTTTGACATTGAATGGAATTTTGCATGACAGGGAGATTTGCAAGCCTTAGAAGACTTGACTTATGAAAAAAGAAGGGTTTTCTTGCAAAAACATCAATTGCCCCGCGAACTTCCCGTCGTCTCTTTCCACACCGAAGCAGGTTTAGGACCCAGTGTCCTTGCCACCTTATCTCAAGTTGCCCATGCCGAGCTACCTGGCATCGGTGACGGCCAATCCACAAAGGTGCCTGTAGTCATGCCACTCTCTGCTGCAATGGCTGCCTGTGCGCAGCTACTTCAAGTCAGGTATGGGGAGAAGAGCGACGGCCTCGTTACAAGAAGAGACGCCGAGGTTCCTGGCTCTGTTGTTGTCCGACCAGAGCGAAAACTGGATCATGCATGGATGGTATACTCTACACTCAATGACAGCCCAGGCGAAGGCGATGCTTCTCAGGTCTGTGAGGCTCTCCTCACGTTGCTTGTAGAGGTTGGGCAGAAGAGAAGGCATGTAATTACCATGAAAGATGAGTGAGATTTGCAATTTTGCTACACAGTAAGTGCTGCATATAGTGTAAACTTTAGAATTTGTTGACACGCAGGATTTAGATGTATAACCCTCTATTTTAGTGCTCCTATTTACGATGATTCTTCTAGTTTATTTTACATGTCAAGTTTGGGCTCATAATGGACATCAATTTTATTTATTTTTACTTATTTCTTTTATGGTGCGAATTAGTCGGGCAAACAACTAATATTTTGAAGTTAGTATGTTGAATTTTTTTGAGACTTCAGATCTCGTATGATTCACGAACTCATACAATCCGGGAAAGACCTTGCGGAAGAAGTGAGAAGCAGTCCAAGGATTTTCTCATAGAGAGATTTTTGCGGGTCCAGGATTGTGATGCATATCTCTCTCTTTATTTTTTCTTCTTATTCATACTATGTGCTCACAGAGGGGGTATAAGGAATGAAATATAAAACTAGGTTATAGGTTGCATGGTACAGAGTCTGAGCAGGCTCGCCGAAAAGACTGCCAATGTGAATTATCATGCTATTAATAAATGACGATATGTATGTCGACAAATTGAAGTTTTCTTTCTTCCGCCTCAAAAAATTGCCCGTCAAACTCGGTGTACCAGAGTAGTTATCGACAAGCTTGGTGGGAAGGTCCAACTAGTCAATGCGAGATTAGAATAGAACTCGAGCAATGTAAGCGAGCTCACGCTTGAATACTAAGGCTTGGTGAGCTTGTTCTTAGGAACTTGTACAAACGCTAACGTGCCATTCTTTTGGATGGCAAGAAGCTTTTTAGCTTGTCATTTCCAAATGTACGACTAAGAAGTACGATTGGTCTGGTCAACATCACTATTAAGTGCATGCCTATTAGGCTCGGTCTGTTAAGCCCCTGAGGCCGATTTAACATTTGGGCTTTCCTGTTGCTTAAGGAAATTCATTTTCGTATATGCATTTTGTTCCTCGATTCTCTTAACTCTTCGATAAGATACTGCGAGAAGAATGAGAGAATAAGTGAATAGGTAAACCTATTCATGACTAGAGGTATGAGATGATTGCAGTAGACGCTTTGCCCTATCGGCTTTGTTCGGAGACATATCTATGCATACTCAATGAAAATGGTGCTTTCCACCACCAATAAGTTTTATTGGCATGCCTCGAAGAGCAGTCACAAGAGTTTATAGGGCCTCGAAGTTGCGCCTATAAGGAGTAGTCGCGAGTACTTTCGATTATTATGGATTGTTTCTCATTCAGGTGCATTTGCATTTAGGCAATAGAAGCAACTCATTCTATTGTTGTAACTCATAGATGTTTTAAGAGATTTTTTCTTTGTTGAGTTACCTAGGGTAGAAGCACATGTTATCATGAGAGATATGACTTGTTTCAGCCATTGGGAGATATGTACTCCTAAGAAGTGGTGGAGTAGAATGTGAAAAGTTTGAAACTTCCTAGTTATGGAAGGGTTGTCTTGATGCTGGCTTTTTTGGATTGTCAGATAATAACTTTCAAATCATTTAGAACAAGTACTATAAGGACACTTGCTACATCCATTGATGCATCATCATCTTCTCATAAGAAAAAAGATAACTTCTGCAATGACAGAATTAATTTGGTGGTTATATATATAAATATTTGTTGCATTAACTCTGTATATGATATTCTATAACAACATGATCCTTACGGAGTTTAGTGAGTTAGGGGCTTTATTCTTGTACTCCTCCCCTTTTTTCTCAATAATCCTTACTTCGGTCTTGTTTTGATGGGAAATATTTCCAAAGAAGAGATGGATATTTTGGAAGAATGATTAAGGGCAATCATGCAGCGAAGGCTGAAGAGAGGGAAGCAATTTAAAGGTTCCCACGATTCAAAAGGAAAGAATGGCGACACTGAGAGTTCAAAGCCTATCAATGTGAAAGGGTTGTTGTACAATTTCTGTGGGAGCTTTGCTACCTCGAATGTGGTCTTGGAAATCGATTTGAACGAAATTGCTTCAAAAGAAATGTTAGTGCCGCCAGTCTCAGATTCTATTTGTGAAGAATTCAGCGTTGGATTACAAGTTTCTGATTCTCTGAACGACTGGAGGGGTTTCAACACAGTAATGCTCACGGAGCTAATTCCTGGTGACCTTGCATTGTTTTATTTTATCTTTTTTTATTTTATTTTTGTAGTTCTATGCTTTTGATGTTCTAGCTGTTCTTTTGAAGAGAAATTTTTCGATCAATAGTCTGAAGCTATGATTATTCTCAATGATTCCGTAATGAATGATTCTGAAGTGGTAGAAAGATTGTGGCGGGAGGCATTGGAGGAAACTTGGAAGGCTGTAGGTGAACTTGCTTCTAAAGGTAATATTGGTTTTTCTATGTTTGTTGACATAACCTGCTTATATTTTATGATCGTCCTTCATTTATAGGTGGACAAGCTTCGTGAAACATGATATTGATAGAGATTAAATCATGAAAACAAAGTTCATGGTCCCTTAAGTTTAGTTTATAAAAGATTATGATTGCACTTTCCTTTAAATTCTATCTTTTAATGTAGAATACTTAAAAATTTTTTTCTCTCCAAAAGATGATCTATATAGTCTTTGATTCTAAGGCATGGGCATAGTGACTTTATAATGATGTCTAATTTATTATGAAGTGCCTTTCCGATTTTCAAATATCTTATCGCCACATTACACCCTTTTATTTTTGAGACGTAATTTTGTTTATACCCTTACATTTGTATAAGAGGGTTGTGGTGATTCAATTTTCTTTTTCTCTGTTTTAGCATTTCTTTGTTGTAGCCTAACTTTTTCAATTTTCTTGTGATTTTTCTCTTAAAAACCATATTAAACCTAAGAGATTCCATCCCGAGGCGAATATGTTGGCCATAGCTATGTAGAATAGTAGCAATAATTTTCTGGCTTCAAAGATGTCCGCAAGCTCTTGCTACGATACAAAGGGATTGCATCTTTGACGACTTTTACGTTCTTCGACCACCACAGGAGGATGAAACTACTAGTATTCTACTTCCATATGAGGTGTGCTATTATCAAGACTTGCTCCGGCTTGGCCTTCATTTTCTTTTGTGCGAAGAACTAGTGGATGTCCAAACTTCTTCGGGTTAGTTTCTACAAAGATTCATTTGAGCTCGATAGCCAATGCGATGTCATTAATCTTATTTTTACGACAGAGAAAGTTATATTGGTCAGTGCGTTTCGCAACTTGCTGCGGCCTCAGACATTCAAGGATTGAATAATATTGTTTTCTCCTTTGAAGGTAATAATGTTAAATTTGAATAACAAGATTTTTGATTGGAAGAAGTTTTGTTTTGTTTGTTACAAGTGTTTGGGCGGTTAATTGTTGACCTCCATTTTGGTTGAGATTTAGTTTTCTTTCTTTAGCAGCCTAAGGTCTAGCCATAAGATTTTCTTGTTGACTATTCCTAGAAAACTAGAAAAAGAACCCTCATCTTTAGAAACTCTTTAGAAACTCTAAACTCTTCTGTCTTCTGTGCTTGACTTGAAGTTCCATATACTAGTCATAACCTCTAGCACTTAGTAAGTATGACCACTATAGAGGAAGCTCAAGGGGAGTCCCCATATGACTGCTTGGCCTTAAGGTTGACCCTAGGTGTTGGTCTGGAGCTAGTTCACTCACTTGCACTCACTTGCACCTACTTTCACTCACAACCTTAAAACCCAGATTTGTTGACTTTGATCCCTTGATCTTTTGAGAAACTCATGTAGATGGTCCCTTAGACCCACTGACCCTAGGCTAGAGTTTAGCTAAGACCAGTACATAGAGGACCCAAATGGGGATTTCATTGGTCCATAGCTCATATAAGATGGTTGGCACCCCAATTCTACCAAAATATCCAACTTTCCATGGCTCAAACAGAGTGGTTGACACCTCACCTTTACGAAAACACCCCCAAATCCCAAATTTGACCAAAATTACCCAAATCACTCAGAACTATTTAAAAATCATCTCAAACAATTTGAAACTACCCAAATTGCCCAAAACATCCCAAAACTTCCAAAATTACCAAAATACCCTCAAAATTGCACCCTCAAAATTGCCAATCTTGGTAGCCCAAACTTTCCCAAAACCCTCAAAAGTACTCTTGGTAGCCAAAATTACAAAAGTACTCTTGGTAGCCCAAACTTTCCCAAAACCCTCAAAATCATTTCAAATGTCCCCAAAAACTAATTTGGATCCTTTAATTGAACCCAATTTGATCAAATTGACCAACTTTGACCTTAGACCCCAAATTGTCCTTAAAGGGCAAATTTCTCCAAATTCATCTTACATATCCATCAATTTGGCCTCAATACCCCCCAATTTCAATTTTAAACTCAAATTCTTCTTTCATATGATCAATTCAAACCAAATCCAAGCTTAATTGGCCCATTCTTTGAGCTCAATTTTGATCTAAACTGAACCCACAATTTTGACCTTATCACTTAATCTCACCTAATTGAACCATATGATCCACTCAATTGCCCCAATTTGAATCCTAAATTCTTCCTAACAATCCTACACATCAATTTGGACTTTTAATTGACCTTGGTCAAGCCTCAATTTCACTCAATTTCAACCCACATTCAAAATCCTCAAATTTACCCCAAATTGGCTATGTCTCCAAATTCCACCAAATTGGTTATCCTAACCCCAAAATTGACACCCAATTTATGTTGAAAACTCTTTATGACATTCCTCTTAAACCATTTTCAACCATCAATTTGAACCTAGCTCAACCTTAGCCCAACCTAAACCCAAGTCCAATCCAACACCCCCAGATTGACTAAATGACCAAAACCCATCAAATTGAACCTTTAAATCAATTCAAAATCACTCCAAATCTTTTCAAAATCTCTTGTGACAATCATTTACACAATATTGACCAATCAATTGAGCTCAATGTCATTTGGGATAGTAAGGAGCTCTGCAGCTTGTCACTTTCAAAGATAAGTTTGATTACTACGATTGGTCCGATTAGCACAAGAACATTAATTGCAAAGCAAGTGGGCTATACCCATTAAACCCATGAACCCCGTTTAAATATTTGAGCTTTCCTTTTGCTCAAGGAAATTCATATTTGGATACACAGTCTTATTATTAAATGTAAATTCCTTTATACTATGTCATTAAACGCCAAATA